AGGATTTGTGTCACCGCCATGCATCAGAGCAATGTATAAAAAAGAAAATTCAGGCAATCACCGAGTGTTTCATCACATCGTCAATTCCACCCGAGCTGCAGGTTGATGTTCCTATTGAAATGGCAGAGAAACTGATGGAGCGAATCACGAGCAGAAATCAAAACATCGGACCGTACTTATTCCGTGAAGTCCAGGTTTGTCAGTTTTATTTCTTCGTTGAAATATGTCGAGGTTGTTACACAGCCATATTTTCAGATATATACTGTAATTTAACAAGCAAATTTACTGTACTGTGTTACAGCAACTGTCCAGTCACGCATACGTGATAAAAAGCCGATATAAACTTTATAAACAAAAGATAATGTAAAACGTAACAGAACGGCGAACATGCAGATTCGGCTGTCTCAAATAATGGTAATGTTGGGATAGTAGCGTTGCAGATTGGAGAGGAGAGTGGGCAGTAAGGCTCCCTCATGCACCACCCCATGGAAAACCTGCACCCCTCCTTGCAGATGAGGCTAGATCCTCCCTTGTCGTAACTCACACTGAACTATATCAATTTCTCTTCATCCAGATGACAGTATTTCGTGTTTTGTTCAACATGTGGAAAGATTTCTGCAGTTTTCGCAGCTCTATAGATGACGGGAACTTGCTGAAAGTTCTTGAGAAGAGATTGTCACGACATCGCGCTGAAGCGAAAGCAAAGAAAGAAGCGAGTGAAAGAAAGAAAATTGCAAAACAAGAAGCGGAAAGAAAGAAGAAGGAAAAAGAGGAAAAGGAAAAGAAAGAACTCAGATCCATGGAACAACTTATGAGGTACCTTTACACAAGCATGTTTTCAACGACAAATTTTCATGCGGCAAGTTAGTAGTAGTAAGAAGTGGAAAAGTTCCCTGTACAGCCGAGCAAATAAAACTATACTCATATGAAAATTTCGTTGTCTCGAGCGAATCTCAACTCGGGTTTATAAGCACCGCTCTGCCCACTGAGCTATCAAGCCAACGGGCTCGATTCTAATTTCGGTTCGAGAGTTTTACGCGGGAACCATATATGTCTTCACCGTCTTGGTGATACAATTACTCATACTTTTCATAAAATGTCCTTCAATAGATCTTTGTTAACATAGAAATCTGCGGATTGACAGGGGTACCAGGAGAACTTTGACGGGGGTTAGTAGGACGACGAAGGGCCTTGGCTCTATCCCTATCAATCCAGAGCTTTTTTCTTGTCATCGTCGCTACTGTACCTACACTGCTTCAGACCGTTCGAGATTTTGTCAATATACTTTTACAGGGTGTTCACCGGTCTTGAAAATCCTGAAACTCCCTGAATTGAAAAACAAAATTCTCGGACTGGAAAGTCCTTGAAAATCAATAGAAGTCCTTAAAACTCCTGGCTTTAATTTCCTTAACCTCCAGCTGTGCCAACATTAGTCATTGTGATTAAAATTACAGAATAAAGTAAATTATTTGCTGGGCAAATCCGTGCCATTTTCAAAGATTTTTCCCAGTTCCAGGCCCTTGAATTTACTGAAAAAGGGGCTTGAAAGTCCTGGAAAAGTCCTTGAATTTCACATTCACCAAAGGGTGGATACCCTGCTTTTAATCAATATATAATCTTGATGTTGTTTTTAGCTTAATGGCAGAGAATAATTCAACTTGGGAACAAGAGGAGAACAATGTGGTGTTTTGGAAATATTCGAAACATATCTCAGCCACCATTGAACCTACATCAGGTCAGAAGAAAATCAGCACACAAGATGATAATACGTCATTCATGGAACTAACCAATCAGAGAAGCATTGCTACCAAATCAACCAATCGGATCACGAATAGTTTGAAAAGCGAAAGGCATGCTGGGAAAGGTAGGTCAAGCAATAAACTGAACTGCATGGAATATTGGAAAATTGTGGAAAGCTGGATTATTTCACCTAACGGATAACAAAATTAGTGAATGGGTTTTTCTTAGCATTCTGCTTCATTATTTGTGTAATAGTCTGTTGGCCCCCTCGGTGAACGGTGAAAGTTTTAGAAGAAAAATTAAAACTTTGTTTTTGTTCATAGTTCCAAAATTCAAACGTTTTGGTTCACTCTTGGCTGACTCAACATACAGCACACACAGCAAACATTCCATGAAAGGAACGAATTCAACAGCATCGCGTATTCCGAGAATAAGCCAACCAAGTCACAATTCGAGAGCACGTGATATCAAGAGATATGACATCATCGATAAAAATAGCTCAGAGAAAGTGACGTCAGGTGGTGATAAGAAACAAAATGTTGGCAAGAATAAACTTTTGAAGAACAGAGAACGAAAGAAATCCAAAAAGATTCTTGATCAAGAATGTTTCGACTCTGTATCGAATGTTGGGAAAGAACCATCGTCTACCGAGAGGGGAGATAAACACGACAGGGTAAAGAGCCCCACGGTAAAGGATGCCGGGTTGAAATCCCGTAGGAAAGATTCCCCTCCAATGGAGCATGCAAAGATTTACGGTTCAGATGACGTGGTGGCCGAGCGTCCTGGAAGCCTGAGAACTAGTTTATTACGACGGCAATGGAATCAAAGTCATGATAAGAACAGGTCACCTGTGCCGCTTACGTCACAATTATTGAAAGTTTTCACGAATTCTCCTGAAGGTAACTGAAAATGAACTTCAAATGGATATATAGGTCTTTCAGTTCTAAACTGTTCTCCCCTAGAGATTCAGTATAGGCCATCCTTCATTGCTTAAGTGTTGTTGGTGCAGGAGGAATTATAAACTAAAGTTTAAATGGTTAGACTTTCGCGTCTTCTCGGATAAGGACGTTAAATCGTAGGTACCTCGGATCCGCTATGAATTGGGCAAATAGCCTGTTGGGAAATCCGCTCACCAATGAGTGAGAAACTCAATAAACAACCGCTAAGTTATGGCTCCAATATTCATCCTAAACCACTCTATTCTTATACTTCCAGGTGCTCCGCTGGACACTCCATTATCGTTGGCTCGTATCACTCAATCTGATGACGTCAGTGTGACGAAATCTTCGGCCATTCATCGTAAAACTCCGCCAACCTCTGCCAAGAAGGCTGTGAAAGAGACTAATTTAATCAGTTGGCGAACCAAGCGAGCGAACATTCGTCGTAATGATATTGAACAATTTGTTCCTGATGTGATAGTTAATTGAAGCAAACATTTTGAGATCATACTTTAGTGTATACTAAAGCCTGATTTAGACTATCGAAGTTTCTGTGATCACAGTAGGAATTTTCAATACTAGGTAAAACTCTATAAGTTTTGAAGGATTTGTAAGATAACTGTAAGGGAACTGACTCATGTTTAACACCGAATCAGTTCCCTTAAACATTTCTTACAAATTCTTCAAAACTTAGAATATACCGATGGAAAATTCCTACTACAGAAACTTTGATAGTGTAAACAAGAAGTTGGAACTGGCTAAAGACAGGAATGAAAATTGACTGTTTAACAGAAAAACGTTTAGGTAAATTAAAGGGGGGTGAATAGGTTTTCGGATCGTCGGATTTCACAGAAAAAATTGTTCGGATTTCGGACTGGCGAATATTTTACACAGTTTGCGGATCTTATTAATACAGCGGATTGCGGATTTATCTAATATTTGGGCTCGGATTGTGGATTTAGCTTGCAATTTAGTTCGGATCCTGGATTGTGACTTCATAGTAGAGCTTTTAGCGAATTCAAATTTAGACAAGACCATTGTCGGATCGCGGATTTTGCTTCAAATTTGGGCGGATCGGCGGATTTGTATACCCCTATTCACCCCCCCATTAAAGCATTCCGATATTAAAAGGCGTCTGAATTTTCTGTTGTTCTAAGTATCGAAATATGAAAGGTCCAATCTCGCGCAAGAATTTCCACAAGCAAAAAATTGTGAGATTATTTATACAGCATTCATGTCATCCAATACCAAATCCTCAACAAAAATGGCTTCATAAAAAATAGCATTGAAATCGTGTATTCCACTTGTAAAACTGGTCTACCGTCTACAATAGTAAGGTTGCCCGGCTTCAAAATGATTTATCAACAAGGAAAGACAAATTTAATATCGTCAAAAACACATAAAACTTTATTTCACATAAATAGAAACTCTTGGAAAATTATACAGTAGTTTAAAAATAAAAAGTGACAGGAGATGTCCATAGCGTTGCACCATGATTTCTCAAATTCATTTAACTACCAGCATAATGGTTTGAACCTAGAAAGAAGGCAGAATGCAGTGAGTTAGATGGAGAAGTATTAAATATATATCATGATACTGACTTCAGTGTTTTCACCAAATCAAAAATTTTCCAAATTTGCTGTGTGTTGCAATCAATCAATCAATCAACTAATTTCATTCATATAAAAGTAATCTTTGCTCTAATTAAAGGAAATTGGTTTCTAATTAATAAAATCCTTGTTCTAATTGGATGATTTTGTTCTAATTAGATCTAAACTTGTTCTAATTGGATGATTTTGTTCTAATTAGATCTAAACTTGTTCTAATTGCATGACTTTTTGTTCTAATTAGATGCATCTTTGTTCTAATTAGATGCATCTTTGTTCTAATTAGATGCATCTTTGTTCTAATTAGATGCATCTTTGTTCTAATTAGATGCATCTTTGTTCTAATTAGAAGAATCGTGTTCTCATTGGAAGCATTTGTGTTCTAATTAGATAGATCCTTGTTCTAATTAGATGCATCATATTTCTAATTAGATATATCCTAAGAATTAAGACTGTAAAAACACAGACCTATATCAACAAAAAATTTTATTGTTTCTCCATTTCTAAGGCAGCTTTTTCTGCATCAAAATTTTTATAATATCTTTCATATTTTCGTCTTAATGGATCAGCATAACCAAATTTCCACAGAAAACCAGCAACCATGCCAAATGCCATCCCAACCATGAGATCATTTCTTATCCTGGTTTGTACAAATCCTCGGAGTAGTGGAGCCATTTTGATCACACAAGCTTTCTAAAATCTAGGTGATAGTGGGCTTAACATTAAAAGTATGCAATGAGATACATGTAGACAATGTTTTTGAGGGAAATACCAAAATATAACTCCAAAACTAGGTAATTCCAAGGTTTCAATCAGCTCGGCAATCCACTGTGGAAAGTTTATATTGTGCTAACATGATATTGGATTGGTTGTATAGTTTTGATGTTTTCTGTATAAACTCTTTAAATATTGGGCTCTGGAAATCCTGAGATTTCAAAAGTTTAAAGAAAATTGCATGCCCAATATCTCGATTGCACGATACAAGCTTTCCATACTGGGGGCTCTGGGCATGCAATTAAGCAATTTCAAAACTATCCAGTGCAGTCAGTCAGCCCAACTGCCCAAGGATGGTTAAACATGATTCGCTGGTCAGATTTAAACCTGTCTGATGGTCTTAGCTTGATACTTTGACATGAGCATAGACAATGTTATTATTGTTATTAATATCCAACTGTTCATGCTTGGATGCAAACAACGGTAAAAATTCGTGTGAAAGTGCATGGCTACAATTTGCAAAATTTTGAAGCAAATAAATCACTAAATAAAGAAAATACACAAAAAGTATGACAGAGACACATTTAGAACACAAATAAAATAACAGAAAATGAAAAAAAATGCAATATTACCTCAAAAAATAGGCTGTTTTTCAACAGGAAAGCCTTCTCTGAAAAATACACTAAGTTTTTTACTAAGCGCATAAATTATGATAGAAAACCGCTTACACAAAATGAGCGGGCACAATAAATGGTGCTTCCTGTTTGACTAACAAAATTTCAATGAAAAGGAAGGAAATTAAAGAAAATTCTAAGAAAATTTAGAATTTCTATTTGAATTCGTATTTTATTACTTGTATTTTTAATATAATACTTTTAAAATTGAAGAAAGAAGGAATATTGTAATGTAGCTATTGAAAGCGAAGAAATATTGTAACCCAACGGTAGTTCAACCAATCGCACTTTGTATAAACTTTCATATTTCAAAAATATTGCAAAGGGAACTTTTCTAGTTGTTCTGATTTTTAGCCAGCATGGAGGCTTAAATCTTTTAGAACCTAAATATCAAATACTTTTCATTGACACTGCAGATTTAGAAATAGAAAATTTACATAATATAAAAACTAAAAAGAGTCAAAAGAAATTCTCAAAACAATAGAAAGGATATTTCTTTGTAAGTGGAAACGCCATTACTAGAACTCAGTCCTCTACTCGTGTTCATTAAAAATAAATGAGAATAACAAGAAAATATGATGGAATTCTATTCATTTCGATTGAGTCCCTAAACTGAAGATTTTGTCCAGTTTTGCAAAGAGTTTTAAAGCGATCTGTATTTAATGCAAAGGAGGGGTGTCATAAGAGAAGTTAGCGATGGATAAAGCGAAAAAGAAGGGAATTACTTGGGGAGAAGCGGCAAAAATGGTAGGGGAAAATTGCAACTCAAGTCTGCTTCGCTTGCAAATTCCATGTCATGATCGATCGATCTTTTGATTTTACCAGTTTCTTTTATCCAAGACACCTGCAGTAATACAATTTATAAATAAAGAAATTGGTAGAAGTATAAAGATAATTTATTTGGTGTATATGTCAACAATCATAGCCTATTAATGCGAAATATTTAATGGCAAAAATTAAATATGCAATGTATGCCTTGTGATAGGTTCTAAATGCTATCTATCCTCGCATTATTCTTCAAATATGTTTGTTGAAGCTAATTTGAAACCTTCGATTGTTTTTTACAAATATCAAAGTTTCTTATGAGAATAGATGTGATTATTGAGAATCTATACGACCGTTGGTTGCAAATGCTGTATTTCCAAACAAACTCACTTGTGCAAGGTAAAAATTGAGTGGTGAAACATTTTGATTCCAGGTTTTGGAATGTTCTTCAGAACCGCTTAACCACAAAGAGATCCTGAAAGCTATACTTGATCGGAATCTAAAGGAAGTTCAACTGAAGTAGGTGGACAGACAATCACTTTGTATTTAAAAGTATAAAAGTAGTGCATAATATCTGTATATAGTAATAATAGTATGCTATTGGGTCGTCCTAGAAAACGTCCATACCTCCCCCACAGGGGAAATTAGGAAGTCAACCCCCCTACCCCCTTTTGGACGTCCTGGTACAACAAATTGGGTCCGACAAGGCCACATAAAGCGTATGAGATTTCGAAATCATGTGATTTCTAACCTGATTTCTTGATTTCTAATCTGATTTCTGTTGATTTCTAAACGGATTTCTGTTGATTTATAATGGTTTCTTGATTTCTAATGTGATTTCTGACCTGATTCCCTGATTTCTATGAGTTACCACTGTCATGTAAGACTGTGGGCTCAATAATAACGAAGTTTTAGTGATTTCTGATGTCAAAATTCACTAATTTCTCTCATGATTTCTTGATTTCGGGTTGGATTTCTGTGTCGAGTGTACGAGATTTCAGCCGTGTCGGACCCCTCGCATAATTCTTATTCATTTACAAGAGATTAATTTGTAGATTCTCTCAAGCCTTGGCTTGTCTCAATGCGATGCTGCATGCTAATTCAAGAACACCGTCATCTCTTTTTGTAAAAGTTAGTGGAAAAGGCACAAGCTATCTATTAAATGTAAGTCACATTATCTAAATATCAAAATCGATGAAATAAAATTGTCTATCAATGTAATTATGAAGTGTCTTTTTATTTAAAATGACGATATAATTAAATCAATGTGTTTTAGAAAAACCGTACAGACCTGGTGGACTCCACAGACACTGATTCAGATTCACCAGGTATAGTCTATACATCCTGTTTACGTAATACAGACATTTTGCTGTCACCGGTGGACACTGTGGTGTGGTGGGAGGGGGGGGGGGG